TCTTTATAGATAATTTACACTTTTCACTCAGCTACTCTCTGTAAGTTTTCCAAGCGCTAGAAGAGTAAGAACAGTCTGGTTCTCAAAATTGTTGGAGACTGTGATTGGGTTCATGTGACCTCTATATGAGAAGTCTGTTTTAGTCTAGATGGAACTAATCAAGTCTTCCACCCGTAGAGTGCTATGTGGAGTCTCAATTAGAATTCATCCCATATTTAAGATCAGATTATACCATTAATGCTATTCAGTGCAGTAACAGCAATGAAACTAACAGATACTGGAGTTTAGTTTTGTGATATGCAGGAAATTCCAAAATATTAGGAAAGGAATTTCTACATCCTTCATAAGAGATTACAGAGGACCAAAACCATTTTAGGACTCCAGAGTATGAACCTTTTAAAATTATGTCAGATTTCAGTGTTTCTTTTGGCAGGAATCTTCAAATGGTTCCTTTACACATAAAATTTCATTTCTGTGGGCATGAAACTTCTGCTTACTTGGAAACCACTTGAAGAAGAAGTGAAAATTATTACAAATGTTTTAGCTGTATGCAAGCATGTTAAATTAAATCATGAATACTGCCTAGAAGTCACAACCACAGCAAAGCCAGTGCCTGCAGCCGCCACCCAGACATGGCGGTCCTTGGTGTTGAGTGTGGTCTCTGATGCCGTTGTCCTGTCTTTTTCTTGTCTCTGCTCTCCCATTATGCCATTGGCAAGGAGTTGAGAAGTTAGTCCATTACTTCTCTGACAAAGCGTGGTACAGTACAATTTCAGATTCTCTCTACCACCTTCCTCGTGGTCACTTTTGTTCTTGTTTTGTTTCTTCCAGTTTGCATGGTGCATGTCAGAGCCTGCATGAAATTTCAGGCATGTGAGAGGTGGCTCCATTTCTGCCTTATCCTTTGAGGCTTTAGAGTACATTTCATAATAAGCCGAAGATGTCCCCAGAAATTGAACTCCGTGAATTCCTGTGTCTGTTGTAGCACTTTTACACTTTATTTTCTGCTTTCTGCTTTGCAGAACTGATTATAGTCTGACTCCACCTCTCACATAATCACAGTGCTATGAATTACCAGGATTAAAGTACAGAAATATTTAAGTTAACCTCAAACTTATCAGAGAAAAAAATCCCCTCCTTATCAGATTGTTCATCAGTATTGTTTTTAAACTGCTCAGTGTTTAATTATCATTGATCTAATAGGCCTAACAGGAAAGTATTCAATATGCAAAGAATACCCGTTCACCCACTCATTCGTTTATATAGCAAATATTTAGTACCCACATGTGCAAGGACACCAACCAAGACAAAAAGTGAGTAAAGCCTGCAGCATGCCTGGGAGGAGCTCATGTTCCCTAGTGGTCCTTGTCAGCAAGCCCTAATGGACATGGAGGGTTCCCGTTAAAGGTGAGCACCAGGCCTTTGTACATCCACATTGTGACCTGGACAAGGTTACCCTGAGAATTCTCAGGATGTTCTGTGTGTAACTAAAACAAGCCTTCAGCTGGCCGAGTGCAGCAAGAGGCACCTCGCTGTCTGGGGGTAAATCCCAAAGCCTTGGTAACCAGCTTGTGCCTAGATTGCAAGAGAAGCACTGAGAACTCTCCTCATCTGTGATTGCAGAGTTTCCTGGAGCTCTCCGTGTGAGTGTGTGTGAGTGTGAGCGTGTGTGTGTGTGTGTGTGAAGGGGGTAATCCCTTTGTCTCCTGGATATTGCGGGCTGCTGAGGCTTTGAAATGCCTGCCTGTGCTGGGCTTGTGGGCAACTTCTGCAGAGGGCTTTTGTTCTGGGGATAGAGGACAAGTACCTCATCTTGCCTACCCCACACCTAAACTCCTTTCAGTCCTCTCCTGTTTTCTGTATGCAGTATCCTGCAGGGCATTAGAACCTTCAGATTGGTTGGCTGGGCTGTTAGCAAAAGCTGCTACGTGGTTGCCCCACATCCCTCACTGACTGTACCAGAGGGATCAGTCTAAAACACATCGGATGCTACGGTTTCTCCACTTAAAATCCACCTGTGTCAGCTATCACTTATAGCACAAGATCAGGATTGCTTTTCCCATCAGCACTGGACTCTCCCAGTTCAGCCTAGCAATGTGAAGGACCTTGAACGTGCTGTTGGCTTTTTGGCCTCTGCCTAGCAGATGCTGGCTTGCTACCCAGAGGTGCTTCCCCTGTCTGTGTGTCAAAACACCTCTTGCTGCAATTCAGCATCTTTGCTATTGCATCCTGTTAGGTCATGACAATGGAAGATTTTTTTCTGACATTTAATATTCTATGATGTATAAAGACATCCCATTCTGGCCGCAGCAGTAGTGGATAGGAACACCTTATGATTGATTATTGGCTTGTTTACCTTTAAATTTGCACAGTGGGAGTCTACAATTTTGGATCATAGTGTAGCAGCCATTGAAACATACATCTGCTTTGTAGAGCTCAAGAGGGAGCATGTTATTCAGCTTGCCACTAAGTAATGGCAGTGCATTCCTCCATGGTTAACCTTGTACATATCATCAAGTAATTTCCCTAGTTCTTACGTCATGGTCCTTTCTTATTCTTCAAAGTGATCCTTCACTTCACAGTAGAGGAATTGATTTTTCTAAAGCATAGTTCTCAAATAACAACTCAAGATATATATACTTAGGACTAGGAAAGTTACACCATTAAAGTTATAAAGATACAAAACCATGTTTTCTATTCAGTGTATCAAAGCACTGACTTATTTAATATAATTAAATGAGTAGTTAAGGCTTTTTTATTTCTTTGACTATTCAGTTGAACTTGTGTCTTTTAATAGACTTAGCATTTTGTTATTGGTCACTTTTTAATTCTTTAATATTTGAAATAGAGTTTGTTTCTACATTTAATGTGATCAGCATACCTTGTTGACTGCTGTGTTTCTGGTTATTTCTCGAACAAGCAGTGCTAAGCTGTGTAACGTGAGTAATCGGAACAGCGCAGAGGGATCACTTAGCTGGAGGTTGCAATGAACCTCTCTGGAGGTTTAGTTAATAATCAGTTTACTACTTTATCTTAATTGGAAACTCATACCTTTTTATGCTTTGTGTACATAGCACATTTAATTGCTTCTCCACCTTCTGGCTCAGATCAGGTGAGAGCATGTTTAGACCTTCGTTTTTTCCTTTGCTGGAGATAAATTTTAGGGAAAAAAAATGAAAAATTTTAAGTTTCACTCTTATTGCTTCTTGATTTTATTTCTGATAAATCATTTATTTGTTTGAAAGTCAAGAAAGAGAGATTAATGTTTTTCACTGCCCAAATTGGCTGCAATAGCCAGGTGTAGACCAGATCAAAACCAAGACACAGGAACTCCATCTCGGTCTCCCCGGTGGGTGGCTGGGTTCAAGTACTTGGACCTTTGCCTTCCCAGGTATGTTGTCAGGAAGACAATGCATAGTGGCAATGTGTAAAGTATGTTTGCAAATTTTCAGTAGTTATTGTCTTTTTTTAAGATTTGTTTTTATTGGAAAGACAGATTTACAGAGAAGGAGAGACAGAAAGATCTTTCATCTAAATCAAATGGCAGCAAGAGCGGAAGCTTAACCCAGTGAATACTGGAGCCAGCCAGGTCTCCTTCAGGGGTGTGGGGCTCAAGGCTTTGGGCCGTCCTCTACTGGTTTCCAGGCCACAAGCAGGGAGCTGGAAGGGAAGTGGAGCAGCTGGGACACAAACCGTTCCCCATATGGGATCCTGGCACTTGAAGGGGGAGTATTAGCCAACTGAGGCAATGTGCTGGGCCTGATTTTTTTTTTTAATAGCGAGTCAGCCCATGACATCATGACCATTTTGCTCCCCTAAGTGGTAAATCTGTGCTCAGTCACTCCCTTCCCAGCCACAGTCTCACTACCGATTGTCTGCCCTGGGAAGGCATTACACAGGGGTGTCAAGGAGGTGAAAGTAGTGGAAAAACACAAATGATGCTGTGCAGAGCTGTGTGCTCCTCCTAACGAAGAAACTCATGATGCTGTGTAATTCGTGGATTAGCATAGTGAACTATAGCTTTGTGAAAAATGGCCATTTAAAAATCTCATTTTGAAGCTCCTTGTGTAACGCTGTGACATTTTCACCCACATTATTTAATAGAAGCACATAAACACATCCAGAATATTTGTAGCAACCACACCCTGTTGGGTTTGTATGTCATACTCTACGTATAGTCACTATCTGGGCTACTGAGTGATAAATAACTTTTAAGATTCTTTTTTTGTTTGTTTTTTAAACTGGATATCTGGCATTAATGGCAATTTCATGTTCTTCCTGGTGTCTGTTCTGGAGCCCCACAGTGGGCTTTAGAGGCAGACACACTGGCTCAGGAGCTCTTCTGTCTTTCTGTGCTTTTGTCCCCTTTGGAGGCAGTGGTCACTCAGAGCTGGGCGTGGTGGCTCTCGGGGTCAGCTTTGCAGCGTTGTAAGGCTTTCCCATAGGCAGGTTACAGGGAGTGCAGCTGAGCGAGGGGATTGGCTGCTCTCTGGAATGTCAGCATTGATCTGGTAGTTTTCCATTTAGGCAGAGTACTTGGTAACAGTGGCACACAATTTTAGTTTAAGAAGTTAAAAAAATTTAATGGACATTGTTCTGAAAGTCGCTGGTTAATGCCCCTGAGTGCTTTGTTGAGATTAAACCAAAGTGCTTTAGAAATTTTGTCAGACTCTTTTAAAATATAAGGTTGTAAATATTATATGTGTTAAGGCTGGGTTTTATTTTTACAGTAAACCAGTTTTCTATGGTTTTTCTTTTGTCCTCCCTTTAATTTTGAGTCTTGTTTAGTGCTGACTGCCTGTATCACTTTTTGTTTGCATCATCCTTGTATTTGTCTCATAAATTTGCTTGAATATTGTTCATTTTTTTTAACTGTGAAAAATAAAAATACTTTCTGTGTCAGTTCATAAGTGCAACACAGCCTGATTAGACCTTCACTTGCATGAACTCTGGGTGTTATTTTTCAGATAAATTGTTGCTAATGTCTTTAATTTTAACAGCCTCAAGTACTACAGCCTTCCAGCAGCCTTCCCAGACCCACAGACCACGCCCAGGGAAAGCTAACAAAGCCACAGCATCCCGAGGCCCGCAGTGAAAGTGCAACCCGGGGCTCACATCCGGGCAGCGCAGCTCTGGATGACACCTGTTCACACAGCGTACAACAGCAAGAAAGCAACTCCGGTGTGGGAGAGCAGCCTTTTCCGTCAAGCCCGCAGTTGGCAGTGGATGTGGCTAGGAAGACACCTGAAGCAAACTTGAACGTGATGGTGAATGCTCAGGAGCCTCATCATTCCGCAAAGAATCAGATGAATGACCGGCAATTGGCACCTACTTCTCTCCAGGCACTTCCTCAGTCAAGTTCAGTAGACCAGGCTAGGAGAGTGGGGCGAGACCCATCTCCACCAGTGGGCAACCCTCCACATCTCAAGTCCTTGCAGCTTTTAAAGCCATCCGTCTTGAATTCTTTGGCACCTCCTCCAGATTCGGAACCATCTCCAAGTAGGACTCCTCCCCCATCTCAGAAGCCACCAATAATCACACCTTGTAATTCAGCGAAAGTTCAGCCAACATCTAGTCAAACAAATCTCGCAGATAATCCCAAAGTGTCTAAGCTCCGACCCCCGTCCTACTCTTTCAAACAGAAACAAGTAAGTATCCCCCGAATCGAGCCTCAGAACCTGCAGGCCAAGACCAGCATCCCAAGGCCACTCGCACGACAGAAAGAAATCCTGCAGAATCCAAATGGCAGCTTGCATTCCGGGGACTGTTTGGCCACCAATCGATATTCTCGTCTTCCTAAACCAAAGATACATTAAATACAGAGCCATCATCTGCCACTTTGTGTTTTGAAGCACAGTCTTCTGTAACAGCTTTACATATAGTATACCACCATGGTGGAGGTTCCATTGAAAGCCTGCAGCTCTTAAAAATTAAAATGTGGAAGTTTCTACTAGCTTGGCTCTTCCATTTTATCGCCTGGTTGAAGTACATACCATTTGAGCATCTTGTCTCAGGTAAACACGAGTTCGCTGCCCTATCCCAGAGGTCCACCAAAGGCTGTAATCATGTTCGCCACCCCCTGCACCTCAGCAATCACAGTCGCCACTTAGCAGGTGGAGGCGTATGCTTCGGTGATGGAGTCCTGTCAAGATCTGTGTTCCTTGTGCTTGTCGGAACCTCACCCCTCCCCACCTTTCTCCTGTGAATATGGCTCCCGTTGGAACTAAAGACATGGTGATCATGGAAGATGGTCGTGTGTAAACAGAGTTCTGGCCAGTGTTTTATATATTTCAAAGGTCTATGCAAAAGCTTTGTGATGAATAAAGGAGAACGGGCTTTTCATGGAAGTGTATGTAAGTTTTATTCTTTGCCTATTAGGATCATCAAGCTAGTTTTACTGCTTATTCATTTAGCTAATTCCCACAGACTGAAACTGGCTCATGGTATATACAAAGCAATTCTGTGTTGCTTTAACATCTTGTTTTTCACACACACAGACGTTCTGCCCCACCTCCACTCCTTTGTGTGTTCACATTGCCTCTTGGGTGAAATTTGGAGAGTGAACTACATCCTGAAATCTCTACCTACAGATGTATCCACTTGTAACATATGTTAGTAGCGGAGTTTGACTCGGTTTTGAACTCCTCATGCTTACGGATTCATTGTAGTTTTTTTTTTAAGGTTCCACAGTATGTATCATAAATTAAATCTATTATAATATTTATATTTATTGACTGTGCTAATATCTGAAGACTGGAATAATGGACTTGAAGTATTTGCACAAAACTTTGATGAGAGATAGGGATTTAAAATTTATTTTCTATAGCAAAACAAGTTAAAATATTTTAATTATACATTTAAATTATAAATCTGAGGAAGCTACAATTCATATGTTCTGGATTTCTCTAGGTTTCCCATTTTTGGTTGGTATATATTTGACAATGTCTTAGGGAATACATTGGGAAAGGAAAACAGAATTGGAGATAGGAGTTGTGTTTTATTAAAAGGTGTTTCAAAGGCTATCTGCTTATTTATTCGAGTGTGCTAGAGAGGGGAGCTGTGGAACTGCCAGGCAGCCATGGGTATGACCCTGTCTGTGCTTTAGGCCACTTCTCAGGCAGTGCACCTGTCTTCCTGTCCCCGCAAATCACGCCACGAGGAGGCCACTCCTCTGCAGCTGCTTTCATCAGAGTGAATCATTTGCAGGCAGATTACCTAACCAGGTCAAGTGCTGTTTTGACCCGTGGACCAAAACATACCAAAAAGAATTAAACCAAGGTAGTGAGTCATTCAGATGTCTAGGGATTCTGTCTGTCCCTTGCTAAATAGAGGAATGGCAGCCAAGTCCATTAGTGGGAATTTCTGGGGGAGTGTCTGCTGCAGTCTTAATTGGATACAGTCACTTCCTGCCTGTCAGAGCACCCTTCCTTGTGTGAACGTGCCATTCAGTAGCCATTCAGTAGATAGGAGCCTTTGTTGGGCTTGGGCAACAATGGGTAGCACCAAACCCGCATCTCGACCTTGCAGGACAGCACTTCTGCAGGTGAGGCCCTGCAGTGCAGCTGGTCCCTCCAGTGCTGCAGATCCTGGGAGTCAGACATGGCAGCACCTGCTCCTTTGTCCATGGAGGGGGCCGTAACAGCTGCAGCTGAAAGTCAGCATGGTGGTCTTCCACTTTGGTGGAGAAGGAAAACTGATGCCAAAGTGCATGTAGCTATGATGCTATCATCCTCCATTTCCCCAAAGTAAAAGCCTAGTGAATTAGTAGACTTTTGGTTGATTTCAAAATTGATATAGACTCTTGCAAAAAGTTTCAATACCGAACTTTGTTGTTAACTCCTCAGGCCAAGGGAAATGTCTTCTTTGTCTGCTGCATAAACTCCAGGAGTTGATTTATCCTGACATCTTTCTTGCTCTTTATTTCCCCTCCCTGAAGAACTTGCAGAAAAGTTAAGCCTATCAGTTTAACTTTTTCTGTACCTTTGGAAGGAGCCTTAGCAGAGGGTAGGCTCATGAATGTAATTATGAAGAGTAACATATCTAAGAGCAAAACATCCAGACCACCTGTGCAGCACCATAGTGTTCTGGACTCAGAACACGACTGGACTCTCCTGTTGGTCCTTATGTGTATGTGACACAGTGATCGTGAAGCTGGAAGCTCTGCTGATTCAGCACTCAGAACTCCTCTGATTGGCCCTTATCGATCTCTCTCTCTCTCTCTCTCTCTCTCTCTCACACACACACACACACACACACACACCCCTTTATCTACAGGTCAACTCTGCCCCAACTTCCCCTCCACAGGAACGCACACTGCTCACTGTCTCTGTTCCTGTGAGATGGGGAAGCTGTTGACATGCATGAATTTTTTTCAGTCCTGAGGGAGAATTCTGATGGGGTTGGTTGAGTTTCATGTCTGTGGGAGAGAAAATCAATGTGTGCAGAAGCATGTACCTGGTGGCTAATGGGATGCATGTCAAATTGTATAAAGGAAAAGCTTGGCTGAGGAGTTGATCAATGTAGTTGCACATGATTTTAAGGCATTAACAAAGGATTATAGAGTTAGGTCATTCAGAATGTTTGCAATGACTGGGACCACCTCGGTTTTTGTTTGTTTCTTTTGGAGTCTTGTTGTTGTGCAATATTTTCAGGCATATAGACTACTGTCTGTGATATTTATATGAATACTAGGGAACGTCCTAAGTAAAAAATCTGCAAATGAAGGAAAAATGCCAGATCTGCACTTTAAATGAGCTTAATTGCTTAGAGTCGTGCCTAAAATATCAAATGCCTCCTACCGGGTGAGGTTTGTTGGAATTACTTCCTCTCTGCTGGTTGCTGTTGGAAGGGATCAGCACATCCTTTCACCAGATTACATCCCCAACACGTCCTTTTTTTCCCCCAGGAAGGCACTATTTCCTTTGAACGTTTCAGAGTCCCCTATGCATCCGTCCCGTTTGGCTTGGTGTGTCAGCACATGGTCCCCCTTAGCAGTCACTTCCAAATGCACACAGGTACACTCTTGGTTCTTGAGCAGAGCTGGCCTACTGGTGGCTGGTCTCTGAGGCCCTAGGGGCATACCTGGGACTCAGCCAGCAGGTTTGCCATGAGGTCCAGCAAGGCTGTGACCCCCTTTCGGTTGGCTCTACATCTTTACTCTGTTGCTGCTGTTGTCTGAGCTCTTTGGGGTTGTTACATTTGCATGCTGTGCACACATTCCAAAATAAGTTACAGCTGTGGTACATACAGCTGGTCTTTCTCTTGGGATGATGGCCTTGCTGTTTTTTCTTAATTCTGATGCTGATTATTTTCTGATGATTGTTCCACATTGCCCTTTATGTTTCCTGCTCTAATAATCCAGAAAGACATATTTGGATAAATGATTTTGATGGTGGGCCGTGGACAACAATCCACAAGTATGTCACTAATTTGCTATATTTGAACCTTATTTGGGAAAAGCTACCCATGTTCCCCCTGGCCAAGCAATGCCGTAACACTAACATCCAAAGGATTTAACATCTCTTAGTTGTTGCTAACTAAAAACAAAAGTACTATTTGCCAGTATTGTTTATCCCATTGATTTTTAAGATACATCTGGAGTACATTCTGTATATTAGAACTCGCCTGTACAATGAATTATAAAAACCAGATGTAAAGTCTCTTTCCTGAAAATGTTGGCGTAGTAAATACAAATAAAGTTCATAATTATAAAATGTTCTTGTGCTTCTCCACGTTGACTTCCACATTTGATTTTTCTTCACAAAGCTGTAATATACTGTTCGCCTGTTTTCTTTCAACTTTGCTGTTTAATTTCCCATGGTCCCCTCCCCATACACCTGCATTACTGAATAGCAGTTGAGCAGTATCGGGCTGTATTTTCTTGGATTGGTAAGTGTTTGATACTCCATTTTCCATTTTAATAAAATATTTGATCTGTCATGGAAGAGCATTCAGATAATGAAGAAACAGTAGTGCTATGTATTAGAATGCTATACAGAGCAGGAAAACAGTATTGAGATTTGAATTTGTTTATTGTGCTAAATGTTGTGTGTAGAAAAAGAAAATCACCTGAAACCAAAAAGATGAAATGTGGAATGGAATTTCACGTAAGACCAGAACAGATAAGGAATGTGTAACTTTGTTTTCGGACTTAATCAAATGAGTTAGACCTAACATGTAAGATATAAAATGCGAGTCAAGTGTTAGTTCATGTGGAAACAAAATGCTTGCAGGGATGCCCGACAGTGTGAAGGGAATTTCACCAGCAATAAATCTGATGGGATTACTGCATGTTCCCAACTGTAGCAGCTATAGGGCTGTCTGAGTTATTAGCAAGTTCTTTTTTGAGTATCTCTACATTTTCCTTTCTTGTCGTCACTGGTCATTTCTATTTATCCATTTCTTCATCATTTGACTGTCAGTTATATATTTTCCATTCTGAACACCTTTCCTCCTCATAGGAAAGATAGTTAAGGTGGAGCTCAGTAATTGTGTCTTGTTCCTCCTTTAGAGCAGGTTGAGCTGATCTGGGGCACAGCACTGGCTGCTCCTGTGCTCAGGGAAGCTGACGTTCTTGCCTAAGCAGCACACAACCTCCACTTGGGCCTCAGTCTTTTTCCCTGGGTCCCCTGTTCATCCTCTTCCTTTGCATGTATCAGGAAAGCTCTTTCTGTGAGTTCCTCTTCCATATTCTCCTCTTTGGGTCTGTGTTGTATTTGCTTGTGGTGAATTGCAAGCCTTCATTTCCCTGGGAGCACTTGGTCTTTTATAATAAGATTATATTCATAAACTCATTAGGCATACAGAATATTATTACATGCTCTGCTTTGTGCCTTTGGTTTTCTGAATTAAATTTTGAGGTTTCTCAACAATTGGAAGCTACTTTGCCCTTTAGAACCCCTCACCACAAGATATACCATCTTTCTGACGTCTTCTGTTTTATTCTTATTAATGTGAAACACATATACCTCCTATCTGCTGATTCACTACCCAAAAGTCACAATAGCTGAGGATGGACTAGCCCAAAACCTGGAGCCTGGAACTCAATACAGGTCTCCCATTGTGAGTGGCAGGAACCCTCAACTGCTCCCTTCCCCATTACACATTGCTGGGAAGCTGGCAACAGGAACCCAAACTAGCCCTTGAGCCCAGGTACTCAGTGTGGGATCTCGGCTCCCCCCAAGGTCAGGTGCCTGCCCTAATCTAGACCTTGACATTCACCCTTAGGTGCAGGCTTTCCTTCCCTTCCTCTCTAACACACTTGGATACAGTCTCAGAGACATTCTTGGTTACTTGCTATTGTTTTTAATGGAATTATACAGGAGGTAGTCTTCTTAAATCTGGTTTCCTCTGCTTAGCACTAAAGTTGTAGTGTGAATCAGTGTTTATTTAAAAAAACTTTTTTAATGATTTCACATAGTGGACGAGGGTGTGAAGGGTCAAGGGCTAGAGCAAAGTGTGAGACCATTGTTTTCACATTCTCTTTTTTCCTTCCTGCATCTGGGAGAGGGGAGGAGATAAGGGGAGAATCCACGCTCAGACTCCCAGCCATCCTAGGGTCCCCAATGTGGAGAATGCTTCTAGGGTCCTGCTCAAGTTTGATAGTTCAACATTTCTGAATTGCTGCCATCTTGCCCCTCCAGTCATGATGAAATCTCTCCAGACTCCACTGGTTGACAATGTCCACCTTAGAGCCTCCATTTGCCCAGTTATTCACTGTCAACACATGGCCGGGGTGGTTGATCAATTGTTCTGTCCTTTGTTATGGTGCCAGGTGTCCTAGCAGGTTCCAGCGTACTGCCATGTCCTCCATGTACAACTGGGTATGCTGTCCACTGTATATTCAGTCACTGAGGAGGCCCTGCTCTGACACATGCACTCCATGGTTAGACCATGGAACCTGCAACTCTCTCCATGGTTGCAATTCTGAGTCCAGTGATTCAGTTGGAGCAGAATCACCAAAGAAACCTCATCTGAGGTGATCCCAGACCTGATTCTTGTGTATGCTATGTGCTTGCGAGTACAGGGTCTGACACAGTCCATCACCCAAATCAGCCTATGCCACACTGGTAGTTGAAATTGCTGAGTCAGTTTTGTCTACAGCCCTGTGTTCTATGCAAACCAGTGGGAGCTGCAACTCAGTCAAAGAGATCTAGCGCAGCCCATCCCATGCCCACCCTGGTTCTCATGAGCACCAGTGGGTACTAAAGTTTCGCCCAGTCTGGTGCATCCCAGACCCAGTCCATACCTGTGCTAGGGGAGACTGCAGCCCTCACCCTGGCCCTTGCACTTTCCAATGGGGATTAGAACCCAGCCAGGGCATCCCCTTTGCTCCCCAACCAGGCCTGTATCCATCCACAGATCTCATATGTGCCAGTGGTTGCTCTGACCCAGCTTTTTCATAGCCCCTCACCTGTCTTGGCCTTTGTGTTTGGATGCTGCAGCCTGGCCTAACCTGACTGGCCCCCAGTCCCATCTCTCACTGGTGGATGCTGCAACCTGGCCTTGCTCACTCTGTTCCCATCCCTGGCTTGTGTAAACCAGTAGGTGTGATAGCCTAGCCTGGCATGAATGACCTGTAGTCAATTCTGGTTTCTGCACTTGTCAGTGGGCTAAGATTTACTTGGCCCTGCCTGGTCTTCCCCGCCCCTCCAAAACCAACCCACACATTTATCAGTGGATGTAGCTACCTTGCCTAGCTTGCCCAACACCTAGGCCTGGACCATGTACTCAGTAGCAGGAACTGTGGCCCACCAAAGGAATTATCCAAGTTTCCCATTTTGGCCCAGGCCCAGATCTCACTCATGCCAGTGGGTGCTAGTCCGTTACCTGGCATAGCCTGTCCCTCTGTCCCAGCCTTTGCATGAGCTGATGGATGTTGTGGTGCAGCTCACCTCACACAGTTTTAGGATGTGCATGTGGGTGCTGCAGCCTGGACCTGCCCAGCCTGTTTCCAGCCCCAGTACCCATGAGTGTCAGCAGGTTTCATGATCATACCTAACTTGGCCCATCACCACTCCAACTCTAAAGCTAACCAGCGGGATTTATAGTTCCATAGGATTGGGTCCACATATCCACCACAGACTCTACCCCCTGATCTGGTTCTTTTGCGTGCTGGTTGGTGTCATGGCCCAGCCTAATGTTACCTGTCCCCTGAATGACACTGTCAGGTGCTGAGATCTGGCCCTACTAGACAGGTCCCCAGCCCTAGCTTTTGTGTGTGCTGGCATGTGGCGATCAGCAGTGATCCATGCTAACAAGCCCAGCTCAGGTCTCCCATGTGGGCTGGTGCACCGGTCTGACCCATAAAAGCCTTCTGGTCTCTGGCTTCCAAAACACCAAGTCTCAGTCCCCTTGATCACCTGCAAGTATAGTGGCCTTGTCGTTGGGAGTGTCTCAGGAGTCATTCCTCCCATGGTGGTCCTCCCTACCCCATTTCACCTTGCTCCTTTCTCTGTTCAGTCAATGATCCTTGTGCCCAGGGGTGAATGGGTTCTCCAGCCCAGCCTTTGGAAGCCCAGCAGGTGGTGTGCTGATCTGAAGCTCTCCCCACCCACCAGAGTTCAGGCTCCTGGTACACGTGTTGGGCCAAAATCCAGACCCACTGAGGTTCTCCAGACCTGGTCCACTCCCATGAATTAGGTCTTAGAAGTGCACGTGAACCTATAATTAGCTAAAAATTAGAAGTTTAGGAAAACCTTGTGAACTGAAGCACATAGGCACTTCCTAAAAAATAATAAAACAGCTGTCTTTCATAATGAGGAGGACAGTGCTTGCAAACACCAGCAGTGTTTGGCTGCAAGCTCCAGTTGCGCTCCTGGATCCAGCTTCCTGCCAGTGTGCCCCTGGGACACAGGAGACAGTGGCTTCAGTAGTGGGCTCCCTGCAACCCAGGTGGGAAACTCAGAATGAGTTCCAGGCTCCCAGTTTTCGACCAGCCCAAAGCTAGCTGCTGTAGGCATTTGGGAAGTAAACAGAGAATGGGGGAGCGTTCTCTCTCTCTCTCTCTCTCTCTTTCAAAGTTAAAAGCAACACAAGCATCACAGGCACCCACAGCACTGTGGTGTGATGCAACTGTCTGCATGTGCCTGTGCTTTTGGTGCAGTCGGGTGTTCTGTGTGTGAATCACCACCGTGATAGCTAACAGCGCTTGCTGGATGTGAGCCACACGCTGGGGTAAGGACTTGATGCCCTGGCCTCTGATTCTTGCCACGATCTGGGATCTGGGATCTGGCAGCCGCAGCTCCTTTTCTCAGAGAGGAAGCTAAGGTGCAGAAGTTGCTCCTCTGAGCTCACAGCTAGAGAACGGTACCAAAGAATTTGCGAACAGGCCATGTGTGTCAACATCCATGCTCTTAATCGTAAGGCCGTTACGCTTCTCTAGGTGTAATCCACCTCAGCCCATTTGTACAACAGCACTTTTCTTTCTTTTATTTTATTTTTCCTTTCTCTCTCTCTTTTTCATAAAACCAAGGCTTGGAGTATTAAACGTAGCTGGCCCAGTGTCACACAGCTGTTAAAATACAGACTAGCCCCTGGTGAGGGCAGAACCTGGTATATTGTACAGTGCTATACTACCACCTAGTGGTCAGCCTGGCAAATTCTCCTACAGGTACACCACCGTGCTGATTTCTAACACTGGTTGAAGTTACTTAAAATGCCAGAAGCCAGAAACCTGGCAGAATTCTCCAAGTACTAAAGAACAAAAGAGCAC